GTAGTGCTTATGCCAAAATGCTGTAACTAAATCGATGTAACTTTAGTATGCACTTCCTTTCTACTTCCACGTTAACCTCTCAGTTTTTCTCTGTCCATTCCCATTCAACCAATCATCTTATCTTAGCACCCAGCTAGTTCCTGCCCAATAGCACTGTTCCATGTTATACCATTAGAAAGAAAATTACCCTGCAGTGTTAACCATCATTCAGACTAGCTTTGCACATTGGTGCAAGTTTCTTGCATGTCATCTCTAGTGGATATCTGCTAGAAACCACCAAATCAGGAGTAGGAAGTGGACAAGCCCATCTTTAAACAAGTGATGGAAGCTTCCAAATCTCAGGACTTGGCTCTCATGGGGGGCTTCAGTTATCAGAACTTCTGCTGGGAGTGAAACGCAGCAGTACACAAGCAGTTTTATACCACTTCTCCATTCTGTGCTTCTTTATGAGTTTAATATATTTATTGCTTGAAATAACCACTGTCCCACCTTATAGGCATAAAATTACATGGCTTTTGGTGTGTTCCATCTAATAAAATACATGAAAATACAACTTTAAATATGTAAGTACAGGTAGTGTGCTCCATACAGAACACAAAGAATGTTATGGATCTTTCCCTCATAGGCTTACAATGCACAGCACAAAAAATAAACTTAAATTCTGATATTATGCCCTGCCCTATTATGATCCCAATCCAAGCGGTACATAACTATGCACTTAAGTAAACATGATAATAGCTCTAATGATTTTTGTGTTATAAGAAATGTTTGTTCACCAAAAAGGAAAAGAGGAGAGAAGAAAATTTTACTTATTATTCACCCTTTCCTACTTAGTATCCATTCACTAGATGGATGTTTTAACTTGAAAAATTTCAAGTAAATTCAAAAAGTAACTTGGAACTACTTGCTATCTGGGTTCTTTGGTTGAGCTAGCCCCCTCATCCTTCTGTGGTACATGTGTGTGCTATATAGTATTTGAATATATATATAGTAATTGAAGGGCATAGATAGGTAGTAATTGTGACTCATCTGTGTGACCTGGTCCTTGTATAGCTGTATTTTAAAAAATTAAAAATATCATTTAATGAGACGGATGAGGGGGGCTGATAGCCAGTGGCTTGTGAAAAACAAGATTGAGAATAAAATGTGAGGGATCTTGTGTGAGCAAAGAGACATTCATACAATCAGTGAATTTTTTTGAATAAAAAATCCTTTGAAATGCTTGCATTTTGAATAAACTTTAAGATGACTGGCTGGTCACTGATGCTGCTGTCTCATTAAAAGTGGAACAAAGTGAAATGGCTTTGAAATGGCTAGTTCCATGGAACTTTTGTTAAATTTCATAAACGTGTTTTAATAGGAACCACTTCATTTCAGAAGCCTTTCTCTCCCTTTTGTTTTCTTACTTCCCTGAGCAAAAGCAAACATGGAATAGCTATCCAGAGGGTCCACAACTTTCTTTTCTCAGAAAGAAATTGTGTCTTTAGGTTGTTTCTTGAGGAAATAATGTATTCCTGCTTCTTGTGCTCTCTGCCACTACTGTTCCTCATTTATGCATCTGGAGCAGAAGGATGAGTGAGTTTATCTAATCACCTGAGGTATAGGCTGTAGCTATGTTGGTTTAAGGACCTATGCAGGCAAGGTTCTTTGGGTAAATCTGCTATCTTTTATTAGACCAGCTAAAATAGTTGGAAAAATTCTTCTTTGCAAGCTTCTGGGTACAAACACCCTTCATCAGGCTGAAGAAGTATTTGCAATTGGTCTGTGCTCTTCCTAGATGGAATAGAATTGAAGCCAGAGGCCAGTATGTGAGAACGCCTGTCCATAAAAATGCAAATTGAGACAGTCAATGGGTGAGAAACAGGTGGAGGGGGAAGGGGAATGTAGAATAAGATGATAAGGTGATAAGAATATATCTGGCAAATAGTAGAGTGGTTACCTGGCTTATCAGATGTTAGGCAGGTTATAATGTGTCATGAATCTGATGTCTATATTTAGTTCATTATTTTTGTATCCAGTAGGTTGATGAAGTGAAGTTTATAGGTTTATCTGTGAAAGGTGTTTTGTAAATTCCCTTTGAGGATTAGACCTGAGAGATTGGAGAGAGAGTGGTTTTCTTATGAGAAATGTGCCCTCACAGGTAAATGGGTACTCTTGTCTTTGATCAATGTTTGATGTGCATTCATTCTGGTATGCAGTGGTTGTTTGGTTTCTCCTACATATTTTCTATCATGGCATTTAGTGCACTGGCTGAGATATATTACATTTGTGGAGGTGGAGGTATAAGATCCAGGAATGGTGATGGTTCTGGTGTGGGGTGTAGTTACTGTGGGGGTGCTGGAGATATGTTGCCAAAGTTTACAACTACACCCCACACTAGAATCAACATTCCTGGATCTCTTACAGCAAGGTATGGTAACATAATCAGGTAAGCCTGACTGCCCGCTTCCCCCACTGTCTGACTCCTGTGCAAGGAGGGAAGTACTGAAATATATAATTTAGTTTTATAAATGGGGTGCCACTCATTTCACACATATTAAAGAGGGTTGCCTCAAGTCCAAAAAGCTTGAGAACCACTGAGATACTAGATAGAATGAATATTGGTGGAACACAGGTTCTCTTTCTCCTGGTTTCAAGGGGCATTTATACATATGGTCTGGGGAGCGGGGTGGAGGGGAGGTGGGTGGAGTGCTTCAATTAGAGTGCTCCGAGGGTCACTGTAATTAAAGCACCCAAAGTGTCTCATGTATTAGCATCCCCATGCTGAAAAATAGTAGTGGGGGTGCTTTAACTAAAGCATGTCAAACAAGCTCCAGTTAAAGCACCCACAGCACCATTTTTCAGCACAGGGACGCTGATACATGAGATGCTGGACTCTGCTGGAACACAGTAATTACCAATCTCCAGCAGACATGATTTATCGAGTCTGGTCTGATGCGATGTAATTACAGCATGTCGGAGCAGGCTTGCTAGACATGTGTAGGTGCCCAAGAAATCCAAGCTGATGTTACTTCTCTACAGACCCACCTCAGATACGATGGAGGCTGCTGAGTTCATGTGGAATGCCACTTCATGGTTCATGTCCTCCTTTTCTCATTTGCTTCTTTTCTTTATTTTCCTGTATTATATTGGAACAAATCACAGAACTGATCTATTGTGATTTTGCTGCATTTATTTTTTATGCATTAAAATGCTGGGTTCAAAATTAATGATAAAATCTGGTCAAGAATCAGATATTCTACACTGTACAATTTCAATTTTTAACCCATTTTGAAATGGAACTAACCAAAAAAATCCCTAAAAATAATTGATTTATAATAAAAATAATACATGTACAAAAAACAATGCGTCTAATTATTTCAACTTTTTATTTTTTATTTATTGTAAAATTAAAAATTAGAAACCAAAATAGTTATTGTGTTAATATTAAAATCAATAGTTTTTACCTTGACAGAATGACAGTATAAATTTTGCCTAGATAATTTCATCTACAAATGCCACATTTCTGTGAAACGTTTTGATTTCAATATGTCAGGATTTTCAAACAGAAAAATATTTTCTCTCTATAAATACAACTGTAGAACTGAGCTTTGGTCATTGTCAATCATATTTTACACATTTATGTAAGTCTGTTCCTTAATGTGTTTCAGTGTTTTATACAAAGGATTTTTAGTTCTCAGATAGTTTATCATATTCATATACAAATCATTATACCCCTCTTGTATCTTTACACAATATAAAGCATACAAGCAAAAATATGTGGTTTCAGAAATAAATACTTTTTATTTTGTACTTATTCAGTTTCTTCAGTTTAATTATATCAAAATAATAGGTGCTTAATTATTGTAGTAATGTAAGGTTTACATTTATTGAATTATATTTTTAATAATAAGAGTTATTGTATCTTAGGTATGTATGTATTTTCTAGAGAGCCTGGAATGGTTACGTGAGGTGCTTGTGAAACTAATAAAGTGAAAATTTAAAAGCTAAAGTCACATTCTTTTCCATTTAGGAATAATAGTTTCAAATCTTTCTGTAATGAGAGAAAAAAGCTAATCATTATTTCATATAGTAACTGTTCTCAGTGGTAATAGTTTAGCAATCTTATTACTAGCAGATATTCACTTTCTAACAATTTTCACATAAATTGGTTTGAATTTGTCTAAATTAGGTTATATCAATATGCATCATATAAATTGTTTTGCATGATATTGCATTGGTCAGTTGCTTAAGTCAATTGGTTTCTTCTTATAAGACTAATTTATAATGAGCTGACAAGGACTGAAATTTGCATTGCAGTAATTTGATCACCCTCTGGTTCTTGCTGAAAATGACAGACAGAAATATTCACTAGAAAATGGTTGAGATTAATCCATTAATGTCTTCTGCTGTTGGCACTCAGTTGTACATTTGCCCTCCCTTGCTGAGAGTGCAATCAAGTTTAGGGTCAGTTAAACCCAAGCTACAAGTTAAATAACATTTTAGTTGATTTATGTACATAACAGTATGAGATGATGTAGTTTACTGATTTACCAAATGCTTTGATTAGATTTCCAGCACAACAGGTCAACCAATAAATAAGAATAGCTAAATAAACCCTTTATTAATTTGAGTGTTTCTTTTCCAGTTAAGCTTTTCCCCCATAAGTGAAAAATTGCAATTCATCCATTTTTCTACAAGAAGAGTACATTTCTGTTCTGCACCTGCAATATAATTGCAATGTATTTAGCAACATATAATATTTCTATTGTTACAAAGTCAGAACTTGATTTGATGTTCAACAAGGAGAAGGTACTATCAAGTTTATGGGCAGAACAAATAAAATGAATTACAAAGCAGTAAGCAAAATAATTCTCTTCTAAATAATTTCTTCCAAAGTTTTAATATATATTATAGTGATGTCCCTTCAGAATTTTTCCAGAACTAGATGTTCCAAATGACTGTAATAGGGTATCATTCTATTTCAAATGTATCTGATTATTATTTTTGTTTTTCAACAGAAAATACAGTCTGATTTAGCAAGCCACGAGATCAGTTTGGAAGAAATGAAAAAGCGAAACCGGGGTAAAGATGCTGCCGAAAGAGTTTTATCCCAAATTGATGTGGCACAGGTAAAAATTTTGTTCCCCCCATCTTTCCATCATACACACAAATACACAGGACTCTTGCATGCTGAAGTATTCCTAACATATGTAAGAGTTTTAGCTGTTTTTTTTAAACTTTGAGCCATAATGTAGTGCAGTAGCCAGGCTAACAAATCAGGGTTTTTTTACATGTGCTCCAGGATTGGGGGAGGGGGGGTGTCTTTAATTACAGTGGCTCCAAGAACCTCTCAAATTAAAGCACTAGGAGCGTCTTGTGTATCAGCATCCCTGCACTTCAAAATGGTGGCAGGGGCACTTTATCTAAAGCTCGTTTGATGAGCTTTAAATAGAGTACCCCACCATTATTTTGAAGCACAAGGACACTGATACACAAGATGTGGAAAACTGGTGGAGCTTGGTAATTGCCATGCTCCAGCAGACTTAATTAATCGAGTCTGCTCTGATATGCTGGAATTACAGTGCATCAGAGCAGTGTCCCTGCGCATGTAAAGGCACCTTCACATGGGGAAAAAAACCAATCTGCTTATTTTCTTATTACTGATTTTTTTTATAGCTTGCCCAAGTTTGTCAAAAGGTTAATGTTTCTAGTATGAAATTTCATGCACATTTCAAAATCTTAATCAACCATTTGACAGTAAATCCTTTGAATGTAGTAACAACATCAAAAGTAACACCATGCAGATAAATGGGGTAGATTATTTAAGCTATATTTATATCACAGTAGAGAGAGAGGCATGTCTGCCTCCTTCATTTAAGGGACAAAACTTTGATTTTAATAAGTATATCCTCCATGTTTTAAATATGTACCATGATTTATCATTCACATTTTGTGATAGAGTGCCAGATGTAAGAGGTGTGACTGCAGTCCAAAAGTGTATCACAGCAACAGTTATAATTGATAGTTGGAAAAGTTAGTTAACACATTAGTTCAACATAGTCAATGCAGGAAAAAAAATGGAAATAGATAATGGGTGCATACAAGCATTACATTTCCACCAGTGGAATCACAGCTCTACCAGTAGAAAAAAAAACTAAGTGTAAAAGTACTCAAACAGTTTTTACTAGACCAAAAATGACAGGTTCAGTGGAATCTTCTACAATTTCCAGTGAGGTTGAAGTGGCTTCTGGTAGAGTTTCTCCCAGAGAAACAAATGCTTATACACTTGCCTCTCGGATAAAAGCTGCCATGTTACTCTCCAGCATCCCAGTATGTATTGCTCTGCTCCCCAGTCCTCCTCCAGGGAGACACTCTGTGACTTGGCCAGGCTCCCATAGATTCATAGATGTATGGTCGGAAGGGACCTAAGTAGATCTTTAAGTCCGACCTCCTGCCTGGGCAGGAGAGAATACTGAACTCATATGACCCCAGCTAGGTAACTATTCAGCCTCCTCCAAAACAAACCCCTTCTCCTGTCAGCCTTGGGGCTGGGAAAGCCCTTCCCTTTTCCACAGCCTCAGGGATGTTAACCCCCATGTCCCTGAGCAGGCAGGGAAAAGTGACCCAGCACTGGGTCAATGACCTACCAGTACTCCTCTGGACGTGCACCAGCCTGACCCCATCCCTGCTGTTCCCTGACCACTTCCTCTGCACCCCATGCACACAGACTCAGATCTAACAAACTACTTTACTGTTCTCTGAGCCCCCAATGCATCCTCTAACTTAGGCCCAAACCCCAGAGACTCCACTCCCACCATTCCCCAAGTCCCTAACCCACCCTACCCATGGACCCAGACCCCACATTCTCCAGATCATATGCCACTTCCCAAGCCCCATGACTGGTCCTCACCATGGACCTGGACCCTGCAGACCTAAGCCCAGCTATTCCTGAAGCCACCTGACACACTCCCTGCAGGGACTCATACTATGCAGACTCCAGATCCTGCATCATTCCCTGAGCCCCCTGATTTTCCCCAAAAATGGACCTGGACCCTATAGGCCCTATTCCCACCATTTTCTAAGTTTGCATCATTCTCCAAGCTCTCCAAAGCACCCATAACATGGAGCCCAGATCCCAAGACCCTTCTGTCACTATTTCCTGAGCTCCCACACCCACCTTCTGTGGACCTGGACCCTATCTGAAAGTTTGATTTGAGTCCAGGGGGAGCAGGTCTGGGAGGTCTGGGTATGGCAGGTGCTGGGGTCTATCTAGTTTGGATCCAGGAGAGGGCAGAGTTGGTCTGATCCAGGTCCAGTCACAGAGGTGCTGAGGTGCTTGGACCCCAGCCAGCCATACCCTGACCTGGCAGCACCTGAACCCACCCATCAGCACCTAAGCATGTGGCTGAATTTCCTGAATGTCTGTTCACTTGCAAATTGGTTCAATATAGACAGGTTAGACTAACCTGCAAAGATTGAATGAATTCAGGCTCCAGCTTTTTGAATGTCTGTACCTCGCCCTAGAAACAAGACAATTCTTTTTTTTTCTGTATCCAAGTATTCTCTGAAGTTTCTTAACCCTCTTCAGTCTAGCAGAAGGCAGGGTAGATATTTTCTTTATATACTAACTAAATCAGAGATGCATAAGCATTTATGAGCAAGAGCTTGTATCATCTGATTCTCTTCAGCCTATTCATCTTTCACAATGAATGCTGTATTTCTATGAGGCCCTGCTGCTGCTACTACTTTTACTACTTACAACAACCATGATAATAGCATCCATGTCATCATTTACACAGCAGGAAGAACACCACAGTTTAAGAGCAGAGAGAGCGATTTTGACATTGTACCTAAGCCATAGGATAATAAGTTCACTGTTCCTAAATAGCTGCATCTTGTTTTTCCTACTTTACTGGGGATAGTATTACTTCACTGAGCTTTGCGGTGGCAAATCCAGTGAAATTTATGTTGTACTCAATTATTTTCATGTTGAGGGACACAAAGGACTGTAAATACAGTTTTAATTTTTTTTTAAAGGCATGGTTTAATTTATGTTGTGGGTTATCTCCTCTTTTATAAAATATTCATGATTTCCTGAATGAATTCATAGATTCTAGAGTCAGAAGGGACCCAATGGATCATCGTGTCCAACCTCCTGCCCCTGGCAGGAAAGAGGCATTCCAGACTCTGGCCACCTTTATTGTAAAACATTTCTTCCTAATGTCTAACCTAAATCTACTCTCCACTAATTTGCACCCATTATTCCTAGAATGTACGTAACTATGTATTTCTTGCCTGTTAACTCTTCCCTTTCTAGTATCCATGGCAACTCCAATGCTGCTAGAATATAGCATCAGTGAAAACCTGGCTTCAGAAGTGTCTATATGTAAATCCTTGTAAATTCAGCAGCACAGCAGGTATATGCTGCTGGGTATAATAGGCATGTTTGGCAAAAGTTAGGCTAGAAATTAAGATCTTGAAAGTTGATCTGTTTACTCGGATTTTTGAGGTGTTAATGCTTTTAGAACTAGTATGAATAAATTGGGAACAAAACAGTTATTTCTTTTCCTAGGTTTGAGGGGGATGGGGGGCAGGGGTTCCTTAATCCTGTTTTGGTTTTTTTTGGTTTTGTAGGGGAGGGGGGTTGTGGAGATACCTTTTAAATTGGCCATGCATTTTATTTTAAGTGTTGTCAAGTTGAACTGTATCATTTACATAAAATGTAAGTACCCATATCAGGACAAAAAAATATTCATTGACCTAGATTTAAAAGATATTTTGTATCAATAAAATGAATATGTGTTGTTGCAGTTTTACTTTAAACACCCAATTCTGAAAGAAATAAGTTGTCTAATTTATCACTGTATCACTTTATTTTACACCAGTGTACAATGAGATAGAATACCACTCTTATTTTACTCTTGATATCAATTGTGTTATATTTGCTTAAAAACTGATCCATCGCTATAGTACTCCAGTTTCCAAAAGCCCTACTTTTACTTATTTTTTTTCTGAAAACAACATGCATTTATGGATAAGCACTTTACCTATTTATTTTTGCCCTGAGGAATATTACTTATTTGCCTGGCCTACTCAGTGCAATGATATTCATTCAAAATTCAGAAAGAAAATAAACAGTTCTTATAAAAATAGTGTAATTGTACTTGAAACAGTGGAACAGCTATTCCCTACCAAATTTATCTTCAGTTTTCATAGTACCATATTTTGGGAA